TTATTATATATATATATATATATATACTATAATACACACACACACACACACACACACACACACACACACACACACATATATATATATATATATATATATAATTTAATTTGTTTAGTTATTTATAATATATATACATAATATAGTTAATTTTAACATATCTATATAATATTAATATTATATTCATATAATTAGCAAGAAAAAAAAATAAAATCATTTATAATATTAAACTAAATGAAATTCAAATAGAGTAACAGTTTATCCATATGTTGTTACCATTATAAATGCACAATGATTTGTAAAAAAAAAAGAGAAAAAATATTACAATTTATATTTAAAATTACATAAAAAACAATTTGATCACAATATAAAAAAATACGAATAAAAAAAATGTATCAATGTTTATCAAAATGAAACGAAATTTTTGCTATATACGTAAATTTATTAAGCATAATTTAATATTTAATAAACCTATAATTAATATTTAAAAATCTTAATAATACCGAATATGTGGCTACTAAACGTTTTACACGAAAGGAAATAATTAAAAAAACAAATGTCCGCAACTATGAAAGAGCATTGCGTCGAATCATGCGTGTACACGTATACATACATATGTACATATCATTCACAAAATCCTTTAGAATCAGAGAGATGAACAAGGAAGAAAATATTAACGTTTGACCAACAAGGGATGAATTCATTTGTCTTATTCCATACTGTCCCTTTTCATATTCATGGATACATTTCCAACGCGTAATTTGAAGATGCACGGCACAGTAAACGCACAGAGAGTATGAAATTTCTGTTAATCGATACGTTAACTCACATAGCCTGGCCTCGGAAATGCTCGTGGCGAGGTCATGAAAGGCTATCGTAAAGCCGACCAGGGGATCATGCGGTCGTCCAACACGAGTGTGATATTTCTTCGTGGTGGACCGGAAACGATCTACATTGCACGCAGTGCATACCGGCGAAAACTTCCTCCCTCCTCGATGGTTGCACGACTACTGAACGGCCGACCGTGAGAGCCACCCCTTCGCCGTCTCGCCTATCACTACCGCGCCACTACCATGCTGCGTAGCATTATTGTCACGTCGCAACTACATTGTTCCGACTACTTATATACTACATATACATATGTGTAACAGCAATACAATCTATATGTTTAATTTCCGTCAACGTAACCTTCCGTTGCGTTTACTATGTTCATCTTAATTATATGTATTATTCTAATATAAATATTTTTTAAAATATAGGTAACGATATTATCCATTTCGTAATTAAACTTAAAAACATCATTTATTAATTAATTATGAAACATGTTTTATCGATTATTATATTAAAAATTAAGAATATATTATCTATTATTTATTTATCGGTTTAAAAAACTTTCTTTATTCGGTTGATTGTTTAGAAATAAAAATAAAAAAACTTAGATAATAAATAATTTCATGGAATTAAATTACAAATACCAATTTTGTTATCGCATACTAGCTTTCAAAAAATCAATTTTGTTACGTCACGATATTATGCTATGCGTAGCTTGAATCGTTATAAAGAATACCATCATCGATCCTATTATCCGTAATCTTGTAATTAAATTATTTTCTGTCAAAAGTAAAATATTTCTTTTGAAAGTATTAGTAAAATATGTTTATATAATTTGTAATTAATTATAAAATTATCTTATCAAAATAAATTTATATTAAAATTTTATTTGTAAAAAATTATATATTATAAAAAAATTTATATATATATTTTTTGTCCATAAAAATTTTAAAATATATTGTTCGTGACATATATTATATGTGTATTTGTTTTTTTAATTACTTAGTATCGTAGATTAAAAAAATATATTAAAATTCATTAGATAATTAAAATTGTAAAATAAATTTATCTACTTATCTAAACTATATTATTATTGTAAACTTATATTATTATTAAAATTATTAATTTAACAATTTTTGCAACTGAAAATCTTTCTTTATTCAAGATATCAAGAAATATTTATTAATTTAAATTTACTTTTGGATAAAAATTAGTATTTGTCATGTAATAATAGTTTTACAATGTCTTCTATTTAATAGTATTATAAAAAATTTATATCCGTAGTTTGTTTACATCTAAACATTTATCTTTTAAACAGAAAAATATAAAAGATCATGGAAAATGCAAAGAAAACTTCCTCATAATATTATTAAAAGAAATATTTCTCTTAATTACGGGCTAACCATCGTTAAATTGCTGTGAAATGTTGTGTTGCTCAATTCACAAAGCAAGGAATAAAAAAAACACTCTTCAGACATATTATCTTTATCGATGAGCGACCGAAGAAATTGACAAATAAATAGGAAAATTACAATGAAGCAAAATGTGCAAATATAACTACAAAATTGTTAAAATGTCACGTTGCTATAGAAACAAATAGTTGAAATAGTTTGAATTCTCAAGAGATACAACTTGAGGTAGAATTTGAAGATGCTACTAAGAGAGCTACTTAGAAAAGCCAATATTGTTTAAAAAGAATTAACTGTATTCAATATTCGCAAAGAAAAATAAGAAATGGATAATTCTCAAATGGAAATGGTATTATATAAGTTCGATGGATCTGGAATGAATAGAATTAAATCTAATGAACGTACTTAGGGCTGAATTCGAGCAAAAGAATCAATTTAGCTACTACGTCGTGTTAAGCAAACAGTTTAATACGAAGGGGACTTAGGGTATATGATTATATTTGACATTGGTCTATTATATAGATAATATAATAAATCAAAATATAGCGTTAAGATATAATTAATTATTTAGATGATTAATTATTTTTAAAATAATTAAAATGAAAGATAAATATACAATTATCGCGTACTTAAATAAACGAACTCGAATATCATTTTAAAATTTCTAGATCTTTATAATATCATAAGCGATAGAGAAAAAAACATTATTTTACACGACTCTTAAGATAATTCGTTATAATTTTTTTTTGTTTGAGTAGATATACATAAGTCAATAGTAATAAAATTTACTTATTCAATCTCAATAGATACTTTATCACTGCAGTGAATGGAAGAATACAAGAAACAGAAAAACTTTCCAATAATAATTGAAAAACTAACACCATTATCGATCTCTAAATATTCCACAAATGATTAACTATCATACAATAATGTAATAATTTATTTTAACCTTTCGTTTATATCAAATTATTTAAATCATTTAATCTTTTTTTTTTTACAAAAATATATAATTATTTTTTGCAAAAAATATTTAAATATTTAATTAAATAATATTTAAATGATATTATTCAATATTAATCATACAAATTTGAAATATTTTAGATCCACTTAAAATAATAAATTTAAAAAATACTTATAAAGAGAAGGAAGAGAGTAATTGCGATTAAATTTTTATATAAATTTCTAAAAAGTGGAATCATAAGTATTAAATAAATAATTCATCTATTTTTGAAAAGGTAAAAATATAAATAAATAAGGGTACTTACTTGACGGTTAATTGTCTCTGTATCAGAAGTTTTTTCTCAATTTGTTCAATTGGAAATTGTGGAACTTCGTATGGAGCAGAAATTTCATTAGGTAATTCATGCGATGCGAGTCTCAAGGAAGTACCTGTTCCACCTGTACCTGTTCCACCTTCTAGACCAAAAACTGGACTCTCACTTCCTATAATGATAAATACAAGCCTTTTAATTCTATCAACTTTTATATCTTAATTATATATACTTAATTAGTTATTTAAAGTTTAAACGCTTAAATATTTTTGATTTCGTCAACGAAATCATATATATTCGCTTAAATTTTTAACTATAAATTTTAATTTCAATTAAATTTTCCGTGTTATTGTTGTCAATCAAATATAAAACATTTTTATTGAAATTGTTGAATTCCGTAACCTTAATAAAAAGAATACAACATCGCATCTGAAAAATTACCATCATTTTTTGCTTGTCCAGTTTTCTGCAACCATTCCGTAACAGAATTGCGTTTATATCCAGTCATGTAGTCGTTTTCATTACCCAGCACCATTGTGCAAATTATTCTGTGAGTTTAGAAAGATTTTTCAGAATTCTAATATGATTATTTTGAAAATCTTCCATTTTTATCTAATTATAATATTATGAATATTTCTAAATTATTGATAATTATAATTTTTTTATATTATATGAAGCATTCGTTGAGACGAATTCAACAATATGAGAGAATTTAATTTAATTGATATATTTTATTTGAATTTTGTGCAATTTTGATATTCAAAACAATAAAATTTTGTTATATATGTATTATCATTTATAAATTGTTCATCCATAATTAAAAATTTTTGAATGGTAAATTCAGGGATTATGAAATGTGTCTTAGTTCATTATGCCTGCTAATGTTATTTTTAATTCAATTTTCTTCTTGAATTATAAATTAAATAATTATGAATAAAAATAAAAATTATAAATTATATTAATAATTTCTCTTTGAAAAAATAACGATTAAACTATAAATACTCGATAAAACTATCAATCATTCATCTATACTACTTTGTTGAGTCGATATATTGGAAACTTGCATGCATATAAGTTGATCGTTATTTGTAACCTTGATTAATAAATATGTCGAAAATCTATAGACATACGAATAGTATTGCTATAAAAATTGTGTTTTGAAGAAATAATGTCACATTAATTCTATTCTCACTTTACATTTATATGTATATACTGTATATATTGTATAGTCGCGTTGCTTTAACCATAATCCATATACTCCATCTCCATTTATTTGTAATATAAATCATTTGTTGATTCATTCATTGATTATATTAATTCTTTTCTCAATTTCCTTAAAATAATTGTATACGAATTTTTCAATTTAGAGGAGCTTAAAAAGTATTGAAAATATGGCGAATATTCATCAAAATAAATTTAAAAAAATTGCTCTTTGAATTAATTAACTAATATAAATTTCATGTAAATTAATTAATATAAATATCATGTTAATTTTAATAAGAAACCGATATGTTTATATATATATATATATATATCTACATATGTGTTTATATAGATATATACAGATATAGGTTAATTATTTTATTAATGTCATATACATTTATACCTAGATGAATGTTTTTCACATGGCTACATATTAGAATGTCACGAACAAAAGACTCAACAAAGTTATATATTGCCAACAAAAAGAAAGAAAGAAAAAATGTTATATACAGTCAAGTTCTAAAATAATTGCAAAATTCTCAATAACTGATTTGTGGATAATTGAATTTATAAAATTGATTTGTTTTAAAGTTCTTTCTTTCAAGAGAGAAATATTATTAAGTAAAATTAATATTATTAAGTAAAAAATTTGAAAATTAAATTTCGGAGAAAATTGGATAAAAAAGTTAATATTTGAATGTTAAATGCACAAAATCATCAAAATATTTACTTAATTTTTATATTTAAATGATTTTGAACTTTACCCGTAAATTGTTAAAATTATCTTAATAATCATTTCTATATAACATAAAAATAATAACTATCAAAATTATTGATTAAATTTATTCATGTCTAATTATTATATTTAAACATCATGAAATGAAAGTATTTATTTGAAATTTCAATAAAAAATAATAAAACATTGTTCTCTTATATTTTTCTTTTCCTAAATTTGTTATTTATAAGAAGAACACTATAAACTAATAAAGTGTAAACATTTTATATAAAATTTATATTTTATTTTAAACTAAATATAAAATTTTTTGCAAATTTATTCCAAAATTTATTCCAAAAACTATTAAGTAGTATAATTTCAATTTATCTTTTTCAACAACAATCAGAATTAAAGCAACATTTTATATTTTAAATATTTTATTGATAAAATTGATAATTCAATAAATTTCATGACCTATGACCTATGATAAGTTTACAAAACACAATGTGTATTAATAGAACAGAATGTGGAGAATACCATAAAACGAAAGGGTAACGGCTGTTACATTCCTTAAATACAATGAATTTCGTATTTTATCAGTTAGTTTAGATTAATAATTTTATAAATGAACACAATGCAATCATAATAAACTGTTGGCTCATGCTAATAAGTGTAATAATTAACAATCATGTAATTTTTTATGCAGCATTGTTTAATTTAGATAACTGTAGATGTAAGTATACTGTTTTCAATCTATAAATAAAGTTTTTTTATATTTACATTGATTCGCGAATAACTACTTTCAGAAAATATGTCTGCTCGCATGAGTCATCGAGAATTTGATTTGGCGAATACTAAAAATACGGAATTATAGCATATATTTATACTTATAGATATGTAAAAATAAATTATTTCAAAGTGTTTACATATTTCTCACAGTTATGGTTATATGTATATAAGGTATGATACATTAGATAATTTTAGTATTTATATATATCACGAGTAAAAATTAAATTAAATTAAACTAATCTTTGTAAAAGAAAATTATAATAATTCAGAAAAATATCAATAATGTTTCATAAATAACGTAAACACTAACAATGTAAACATTAACATTAAAAAAAACAAATCATTGTTAACTGAAAGAAAGTTTTTAAATGATTTTGACAAATATGTTATTATTAATATTTTTATTTTGATTAATGCATATTTAGATCAAAAAATTTATGGCATAAATGATCATTAGTTCAAAATCTCTTTAAAAATTTTACAAATATATAAATATCACACTTTTACTATTTCGAAAATCTAATTCCGATTTCTTTCTTTTAATGTCACAAATATACACTTTTGTTTCTAAAAAAAATTGACACAAAACTCTTATGCAAAATTATATATAAAATTATATATAAAAGACCTGGATATAAAACGAGACACTCTTAATTCGAGAAGACACTATTCACGTTAACTGATTGCGAGTATCGAATACACTGACTGTAGCGTAGAGTTGGCACTTGGTAGACATCGTAGAATCGGTACGTACAACTACATATTCGTATATATACATATACAACTTGCCATCAAGACTGTTTTCTGGTAGCGCCGTTAACGCACGTACGCCAAGATCGTGAAACAGTTCTCAAGAAGCGTTAACTATCGCACGTTCTCTTATAGCAATATAATACTATATATATATTTACATTCCACTCATTATGTTGATCTTTATAGAATTAGCTGTTTTTCAGTAAATATAAATTATTTATTAATACTTTAATATTTTAACATTTAATGTATTTCAAATTTGAAATTAATCGTATATGTATATTTCATTTTATGAGAAATAATCTCTCAAAATGAAGTTATGTTAAAATTAATATAGAACAATAATAAAATGTAAATCATTAATGATATAAAAATAGTATGCATAGAAATAATATTTACTAAAAATTTTACATAGTCACATACGTGTACATATCTGTATAAAAATTATAATTGACAGGCGTATTATTTTCATTTGACCCACATTGCTTGAAACTATGTATACATATGTACACAGTAGCATTCGCACAAAGTGTAATTGTCAAAATAGAATTATCAAAATATTTTATACATATATATATATAGATATAATTCTATTATGAAGATTAATATTAAACAAATATTAAGTTTTATTAAATTAAGTATATTAATCATTTGCATTTAAAATATTTTATTAATAGTGAAAATCTAAATGTAAAATACCTTATGATCATCAATAATCTGAATAACTCAAATATCATATGTATATACAATTTAATACTTATACGATCTACATATGCATATTAATAAATATTAATATATTAATAAATAATTATATGCAATTAATTTATATTGAATTTCAATATATTATAGACATCTTTTTCACAAATGTGTTTTATTATAGTTTTACATGATAAATAATAATTTATCTTCTAATTTTTTATATTTTGTTATCTATGAATTAGTGAAAAACTAAGCTATCAGACAAAAGTATTTCACACACTGGCAGAAATTCAAATCAATGTGCCAAAATTACCTAATCAATGTAAATCTACACAAAATATTATTTTAAAAAATTAATTTTGATAACAAAAACTATAAATGATAATAAATAATAAATAAATAAATAAATTACATAACAAAATTATAATGCATAATAATAATTTATAATATATAACTATTTTTTATATATAAATCAAAATTATTTTTACATTATTAAATTTAATAACACAATAACTACTATTTTTTTATAATATAAACAATTTTCACTTTACTTTTACTTGTGGACGAATTAGCTACATACATCCGTAACACTCATTATCAAACTGTCATAGATAATCTTTTCATATAGACACACATCACTTTTCATGAATTAGATTTTGGCATTTAAGTTTAACTATTAGAATTGCACTTCTTCATGTATTAATAAAGGCACTTGAATCAGTTAAATAATTTATAAAAATAATTTATAATATATATACAAAATATTTTTCTTCATATACTTCAATTATACAATTAATATATTTAATTAATAATGCATTTAAAAAATCTTTTCAAAATGTTTTCAATATCATATATTTTTAGGTAATAAATTATTAATTATTTATAAAATATGTATTTTAATAAAATGAATTATTTATTATAATATTCTAAACAATAGTTAATAATAATTTTCTCACCTTTTTTCTTTGGATACGGTTTCCATGATAACTTATACATAACTGAATTTTTTGTATGAAATTGAACAAAGAATCTTTTAAATGCTAATTGCTTCCAATTTTCTTCTTTCTATTTTAAGTAGATCCACAATATTGAATAAAATTATATCAAACTATTTAATCAAACATATAATAAAAATATTATTTGATTGAAAATTAAAAAATGGATTAATAGAATACTACATAATAACAAAATCGTTATATTCACACGATTAAATTATCAATTCAAGTATGTATACTTTATATATCAAATTCTTTGAATAATATAAAATATTACACAATCTTATTTTAAAAATAAAAAATATTTTGTCTACTTGTATATATTTTAATTAAATTTTAATTAAATGTAAAAATATGATTTCTTTGAGAAAAACTTCCTATTTCTTTGAATACTATGAAATACTAAACGTGTTGCATCGATTGTAACACGAACATAAAAAAAATGCAAATGCTTATACATATAAACTACTGATAAGATATCTAACCTAATGATAGATTGGTGGTATTGTATGTACCGTTATCCGATTTAAATAAAGATAAAAATAGTTATATATATATATTACAAATTTAATTTTTATAATAATATTTAGGTTAGAATAATAGATGTTGAAAATAAAACATATTTCACTAAATAATATAAAAATTAATAGAAAATGAAAATATAAAATGTAACTAAATAATTTATAACTAATACCGAAAATGATACAAAAAATTTTATATATTTTATTGTTTATTTTCTTTAGTGTAATATGAATCATCAATTAGCTAAAATTTATGAAAATTAAGAACAAAGCAATAACAATATTAACACTGTTGAATATCAGTTTTTTAGTTTTTATCAATAATTTGAAAGAAGTTTAAAATTTTGTGATTCACATACAGATATTACTTATAATTTAAAAATCTGTAATATAAATGAATATAAATGTAAAAATGAATAATGAACAACATTATAAGTTTTATTTATTCCTTGCATTTATAGTATAAAAAAAATAATGAAAAAATTAAAAAAAATTGAAGTGAATAATTTTTTTTTAATCATTACACAATATAAATTTTAGAAAAAAATTTTAAAAATAATATTTATTTTTTGTACTTTTAAAAATCTTAATGTATTCATTAATAATTAATAATATCATAACAATTTTAATAAATTTATAATTATTATGATATTTTTTTATTGAAAATATTTTTAAATATTTTTTTTTAATTTTTAAATTAAAAAATTAAATTAAAAAATTAAATATAAAAAAAATTAATCCTTTCCTACCTTCATCCTCAGGATCTATAAAAAAATTTGGTATCCTCGGACAGAGAAAAAAATCGTTTTCTAAGGAAGTGACACCTCTACTTGACATGATTCGATTTATAGGCGAACACCGAACACTTCAAGTTCACTCACGATATGAATTTGAAATAATTTATATTCTAAAAATTTGTAATAGATATAGTAAATATTTATATTTAGATTTTTTCATAAGAAATATTTTTGCTTCGAATACACACCAATCTTTATCGTTTTCTTTGTAATAATGAATTCTTCTCCTTAGTTATTACACTGTTCAGTTAACAACTGAATTTTATGCCTCAACGTCGAGTTAACTATACTTAGTTTATCCAATGTTATGACATACGTGTACTAATCATTTAACTCTATACTTAAATAAATATTATTCGTCAATGTTATTTGTTATCTATATATGAAATTCACACAATCACTCGTAATTAATGTAATTTTATACATTTAGTGCATTTAATTATATGTTTCTTTACGATAGACTGAACGCAAACGATGTCTTATGATGCTAATACACCAAAATGATACTGTTTATTGTTAGAAACATTCGTTCTCTATGTCGAATAGGTATTTACAAAATGAAAAAATATCAAAAAAAGTGACCGATGTTTTCTCGTGGACAGGATTATTATTATCACAAAACTAGCTCACTGGTCTTCTTATTTCTATTCACGTATTAAAAATCTTGAGCAGACTAATGTATAATGCATTAGTCTAGAACTAAGAGAAGATGTTTGCACGATGGCAAAAATACTATTCAGTATGTGAAGGCGAGAAAGAGGACGATGAAGAACGCAAACAAAATGTAGGCTCTATGCCAAATTTCAAAAACGTCATTTGATGATATACTGCCATTATGCGTAATGATTTCTTATATATAATATTATATCCATTTTAAGGTAATAAATTATGATGTTTTATGCTTGTAAATCAAAATAAATCAAAAATTATTTTTTATGCTTTTTTGATATTATTTTTATATGTTTTAAATAAAATATTACAAAATATCAGTTTACATGCTAATTATACGGGTTTAAATAATTATATTTATTTTCAAAATTAATAAATATATACTCTACTTAATATATTTATATAAAAATATTTATATTAAAATAATTTCTAAAAATATAAACAATATATAAAAAAAAACAAATCCTATATAAAAAACATAATTTTATATAATTATAATAATTGAAAAATAATAAAAAAAACAATTTTTCAATTAAATTGTTCTTAACGATAAATAATTTTATTTATTATTAAAAATTATTAATTATTATTAAAGTGAAATGAAATAAAACCACGTTAATGTCACACAATGAATTATCGATCCTCTTAAAAATTTTAAACCATTGTATAAATGATAACGATTTTCATGACTATTTTCTTTGTTCAGCATTGTTATCAAAAATGCTTATCTGTAGATGAGCTAAAATTACAGTACTATATTTAAGTTATGTTTTACGCTTTGATGATACACTCATAAGACAAGCGCGTTAAAAAAAAATATCACTAATACAAAATGTTTCACTGTAAACAAAATGTAAATAATAGCAAAATGTATTAATAGCGTAATTATTTCAAATTTCTTTGTTTACAAATAATAAAATGAAAATGAGTACAAAAATTATGATTTTTGATATAAATATAAATTTGATATAATTATGTTTTTATCAAAAATAATTTATTGAATTAATTGTATAATCTTTGCATTGTCTTTAATAATTTTTCTATAAAAATGAATATATTATTCACTAATTATAAATTCAATTAATTGATCAATATACTATATAAAATTATATATATATAATTTGCAATTCTATTACAGTTATCTCAAATTACAATTATAAATTATAAATTGTTCATTGCTATAATTATATATTTGATATGAAATATCAAAAAATAAAACTTACGGTCACGATGATGATCGACATTATGCGGTGTCGTTGAACTATCGGCGTCACCTTCACCATCTAATTCGTAATAAATTCTATTGGTTCCACTATTAACATCCTTCACGCCATTTATTACCAGATCTTCCATCCTTCTATGAACATGTAGATATATTTTGATTTCTTTTTCTATCTAAATTTAACCGTCTGAATTTTAATATATTTCAATTGTACATCACTATTATAGCATATGAAAAACAATTCAATATTTTCATTAAAACTATGTGTTATGAATAAATATAAATTTAATTCAGATCTATTTACAAGTATATTATACTGTATGTAAAAAAAAATGTCATGTCAATATAATACATATATGTAAAATCAATCAATAATCAATATATGTAAAAGTAATATATGTATCATTTATTTACATGAAATCATTAAAAAAATTAATGAAAAACAATAATAAATAAGAAAACAACAAAAAATTTTCTCATTTCTAATCATAATTTCTATTCATCATTTGCATTTTAACTTTTTGTTAACTTCTTACATTATAATACTAATGAAATTTTGTGTAATTACATATAAAATTATATCCAAAATATACATAGAATTTGTGTTTATTAAAATGTTTTAAATGCAAATTCTAAATTTAAATAATAAAATAAAACAAATATATAATAAAATAATAAAAATATCAATAATATAGAAAAAAAATTATTATATTATTTATGAATAAAACACATTTATATTTCTCATTTATAAAATCTAAGAATAAGAGATGTTGAATTATAATATAATAAATATTTTCCAATTAATGATAAATATAATAAAAGATATATACATAAATAAAAATAATAATTCATATATAGGATTGTATTCCAAGATTTATGAACGAATGAATAATATATCTGACAATGTAATTGAATTATGTTAAAAATAATGTTAAAAAAAATAAAGTTAATAAAATTTTAAGTAATACGGATAAAAACAATGTGCAAAATTCCTTCGTGAAACTTCTTTACTTGCGAATATACCACTTGATTTAAGAGATATTAAAAAAAAACAACTCGAGATAATTTTCTTGAGATTCAAAATTCAAAATTTTTGATATCATATTTTTGATAGCATTTGCATTGAGAAACATAATAATTATGGCACTTGTAAGCAGAATTTAAAGTAAAATCATTTAAATTTGAATGATTTTAATTTAAACTTAAATAAAGTTTCTAAACTTTGATTTTCCTATTTAAATCTTATAAATTTGAGGACAATTGTTGTATTTAACTATTTTCATATGTAATTTATCATTTTATTCATTATTCAAAAAAATATTTCAAATATAACTTACTCTCAAAAGAAAAACATTTAATTCTGGATATAAGTTTTATTTACAAAAAATTTCTAAAATCTTTTTATAAAATCTCATTTTCAAACATTTTTCAGAAATCTTAATATTTACAATAAAATTAATAATAATGATAATAGATTAATTATATGCAGTAAATAAAATAATTGCAGGAAATAACTTTAAATTGAGTTGAAAGTTATTTTATATATAAATTAATGATTTCTCGAAACATGTCTAGTCAAACGAAAATATAAATCTAAAAAAGATGAAGGTCAATTTAAAATCTTAAATTCTTTATTTTGATAAAATTTATGTTTAAAATTGATAAAAATTCCATTCAAAATGAAATACGTTTTAGAATAAATCTTCGAAACATATTTTTAAATAATAGAATAATTTGATAAATAACTACATAAAAAAATTCAAATGATACATCTTGTATATCATATAAAATAAAATAAATTAATTAATTTGAATTAATCTATCATTATTTAAACTAAAACAAATGCATAATAATATTAATATGATAATTATATTAATAATTATAATATTAATCGTATTAATTGTATAACAATATTAATAATTCTCTTACACTTTCGTTATTTTCAGAGCTTACGCATGAAACGTCACTGTAAGTTTTTTTTTCTTTTAGATCACTATCCTTAAACATCACTCAATATAAACAATATATATTCACAAATTATATATACATATGTATAAATGCATTACACAATAATGAAAGTAATCACAGAGCACCGTTTTCTAAATATCTGATATTTAAATAACTACATTCATGAAGCATTCAGAATTTGCCTTTTATAGCAGCTTTTCTTATAGATACAACAAGGTCACGATGTCATAATTTAATAGTATATACGAAAAAAAGATTCACTTATATTATACATATGTATTTTTTTTATAAAGATCACTGATTTATTAAGCATAAAAAAAGAACTTCATGAAATGATATAATTCTTAATAATAAAAGAAATATCACACATAAAACTTCCGGCACGCTGGAGCGTGCTGTTAGCTAGAGACTGTCACTGCATGTTTCAGCCGCGATATGTTGTATAGGATCGTATCTAGTATTATAAGAACCTTCTTATAATTTTGATAGGAAAATGATGAATAGAATTCATTCAAACGATTCAAAAATATTTGAATGAATACATTTGAGAATAATAATTTTTTTTAAAATTATTCTTAAATCCATAAATTTTTCAATAAACATAATAAAATAACCTCATTTGTAAACATAAATCTGGCTTGTTTATTAATACTTAATATACAAAATATACAAAACAATTTTCACATATAATATTGTGAATACATATTATAATATTGCTTGTAATTTTTAATAAATTTATTCATTAAATAAATAGAAAAATTGAAAATAGAATAATAATTCATAGTTAATAGATTTTAAATAATATTATATTATAAAATATTAAACTTATTATAAGCGTCAATGGAAATCATCGGAATATTTAAAAAAATAAAATTTTTCACCTGAAATCTTAAAGGTAGTACAAATGAAGAAGACTACGGTAATGGGCACGATTAGTCGAGTGGCGCCATAGCGATGTGAAGCACGTCACATAATTGGCGCAGACTCACAACTGTCGATCTTGTGAAAATCCATATCGTATGACACAACAAATTATAATACTCTTGAAAATATTAAAAATATAATATTTTATAAAATTTATAGCAAATATTTAATCATAAAAAAATAATTTTAATATTATTAACTCTATATCTATTAAATTTTA